TGATTGTGCTTGGTATAGTGGTGTGCCGTTTAGGTCACATCAGAAATCCTCTAAGATTTTTCTTCACAGATTTTTTGGGTTGTGATCATTATATTTCTAATATTTTTAATTCTGTATCTGTGTGATATCTTCATTTTCACTCTCCACTCTCCATCTTTGACAGTCAAGATTCCCCTGGATGCATATGTGATGGATTTCGTTTTCTCCGAGAGAGAAGATGGCGGAATTTTTGACAGCAAGAATGGAATGGACTACCATATACCTGTATTTGGAGGGGTTGTGAAGGAGCCCCCAATGCACATTGTACATATAGCAGTTGAAATGGCACCGATTGCGAAGGTGTGCAAAATAGCTTGATAACACTTTCATTTTGTGGATGTCTTTCAGCTATGCAAATTGTTTGCATCTAAAAATTAGTGCTTGAGTGGATATTTCTTAGGGGATATACATTTTTCGTTCTAGTATTATTTTCTCTCCGTTCAGAAGTTTGTGAAAATTGATGTTAGATTTGTTTAGCCTTTTGCAGGCTTTGTTAATGAATACAAGTTAACTCAATGTATTTCTCATCCTATTCTCTATTAAAATATATAATACATGAATTTTCTTCCTTCTATTTGTGTAGGTGGGTGGTCTTGGTGATGTCGTCACTAGTCTTTCCCGAGCTGTTCAGGACATGAACCATAATGTGGATGTTATCCTTCCAAAATATGATTGTTTGAATTTCAGCAATGTGAGTGTTAGTTTTCTTCGACAGTCTGCTCACATTTCTTGAATTTTGTCGGGAGTTTGTGTGGGAAATGGATACAGCTTTACTCTACTTTTTGGCATATTGTTTTGCAATGGATTAATTGTTGAAGCAAAATCCATGCATGGACAGTTCATTCTTTTATTTTCTTCTCCTGTCCTCTCTTTTCTTTGTTTTAAATTTTATTTTGGCTCAGATTTGTAAAAAGTAAGCCTAAAAGTAACGTATGGAGACTGATAATCACTTGACTGGAATAATGTTACGTAATGTTGGCTACGGATTTTATTCACTCATTCTTTAATTAGCTCAAACTCTGCATGATAGGTGAAGGATTTGCAGTTTCATAAGAGCTACTCATGGAGTGGAACTGAAATTAAAGTTTGGTTCGGGAAGGTGGAAGGCCTCTCTGTCTACTTCCTGGAGCCTCAAAATGGGTAAACCATTAGTTATCAATTTAAACTTTTGATTCTCTCTATAATTGAGCAAGGCTCAATGCATAGCTTTATGAAGTTTAACCAATTCATTTACACTGAATTCCCAGTTCTTCTCCGTTGTACTAAGTTGCCAATCAACTGCTGTTTGTGGAAGTTTTTTTGGGTGCTTATAAGGCATAAGCTACACTTAAATACTTTTTATTATCTTCTAAAAAAACTCAACAGCTTCGCAAAATATGTGGCTCCTCATTTCAGATGATTTCCATTATAGATCAACTAATCAATAATTCACCATTATTAAAACCCCCATGCATAGATATAGCGAATAGATTTATTAGCTTTTTTGGATTAACTAATCAACAATTCACCAATAAGAAAATTGTCTCATCTTTTTTCGAGCATGTGGAGCTTTCATGTTGTAATTGGCTTCACACAATGTGGAGTATCCAGAATATAATATCTAACTAATGCATGGGAAACTCTAGTTTACAAGACTTAAAGTTGTGCATTGCTTTTCTTACAGATTATTTTCGGTTGGTTGCATTTATGGACGTGGTAATGACGGAGAGAGATTCGGTTTCTTTTGTCACGCAGCTCTCGAGTTCCTTTTACAAAGTGGATTCCGTCCCGTAAGCTCTAATTGACATTAAAAATATTCACTTGTCGGTCATAACCGTCATTTTTGCATTTCACTATCTGATTTCTGTTAAATCAATTTCTTCATCTTAAGTTCAACTAATTCGTTAAACTGGCAATCTTTCTGTGCATTCAATTACGTTTATCAGGAAAAATGCATTCTCATCGGTTTTAATCCCATTTAGTGCTTCAAACACAAATTTATATTATTCGGTGCTATGATTTGAAGTTTGATATTATTTCTTTCTTCAAATTTTGACCAAAAGTTTTATTCTTGTGCAAATTTTATTTCCAGGATATTATTCATTGTCACGATTGGTCAAGTGCTCCAGTTGCATGGTTGTTTAAGGAACAATATATGCAATATGGGCTCAGTAAAGCCCGTGTTGTCTTTACCATACACAATCTTGAATTTGGAGCAGCCTTGATTGGGAAAGCCATGGCATTCTCAGACAAGGCTACAACTGTAAGTTCTTGCAGGACTCACGCATTTTTTGCAAGAAAACACAGATAATAACACTGATAGTTGAAGCTAATCCTTGTCTCAACATTAAACATTTTGATCATACTCTGCAGGTATCACCTACTTATTCACAGGAAGTTTCTGGAAATCCCGCAATTGCCCCTCACCTTTACAAATTTCATGGTATTCTCAATGGAATCGACCCAGATATATGGGATCCTTACAATGACAAGTTCATCCCTGTAAGTTTGTTCAACTTTCTTTCGGTTATTATTATTTTCTATTTCATGTTTAAACTCTATAGACAAATTATGTACATGCTTTTGCAGTTGCATTATACTTCAGAAAATGTGGTTGAAGGCAAACGGGCCGCGAAAGAAGCTTTGCAGCAAAGGCTCGGGCTGAAACGGGCTGACCTGCCCTTGGTGGGGATCATTACCCGGTTGACTCACCAAAAAGGAATCCATCTCATCAAACACGCCATCTGGCGCTCCTTGGAACGGAATGGACAAGTTTGTCTCTTATTTCTCTCTCCTCGAATATTTCTTTTTTTCTTTGCGAGTTTTATTATGCTAATCGG